ATGGAATACCCAAGAGAATAAAATTTACAATCAATTTCTTGTTGCCACAACCGGTTAAGCAGAGAGCTGTAACTAATGCTTTATTTATTCAAGTATACGTTCAAACCATATTGTTGCTGCTTATAACCACCATACGTAACGATACCATCGTTTCCATAACTGGAAAATGCAATAAAAAGCATTTTTTTAAATGCATTGCTCAAATATTACTCCAAGATTACTGAATTGGGAATCTTGGAAAAATCTGTGGAAATACATTTGAGACATAAACTGAATCCGCTTCTGCAGTAAATCTGATCTTCGTTTTGAGCCTCCATTTCTGTTGTGTTGTGTTACATTTAGCAGCTTTCTATTGAGCTGGTAAAAAAGTTGATCTTACAAGTCATTTACTCATGTCGTGACGAAGATCCTCATGGACCTTGAAGTGCAGCTCTGTACTGAGTGAATACTTAGGTTTGTATCGTAGTTAATTCTATATGGTGTAATTACAACTGCTACCAGTGTCTGGTATTTGAACCTAGCTTTTGAGTCGGGATTTTCGAAGCAGATAGACGACGTATGTAATATATTCCACAGCTTGGCTTGATCACAAAATATAATAGTATTGTGTTTATAGCAAGAATTTGAAAGCAACTACGTAATTTAGTCATATAGTTTAATCATATATCTGGTTTAGATAGTTTTAATTTAAAAAACGCATATAATGGGACCAGTTATCCATAAGCACGGTAAGCAGCGAGAAAATAGTAGATAGGTTCGCCTATCGTCTAATTCACACTCCCCTCTGGTCTTTTGAACAGGCGTAGAGGTTTATCCATTGTTACATGCTTAGGATTTGCTTTCAGGTTCCTTCCAAAGTCTACTTCACCACTATACCTCTAACATCTCCGCCTAAACTCTGAAAATGTATTTATTTTTTTATTTTTTTCTAAATAGGAGTAAACAGGTTCGTCTTCGTCCGTTTTAAAGGTTTCCCTGGTCTTCTGAAGAAGTGTAGAAGTTTATCCCTTGTTTTCTGGATTAGAGAACGGTTCCTTCTAAAGTATTCACGTTCTGTTTCACTCCCAGTAGCCCGTTGCGTCTAAGTGGGTTTATCGCTTTGCTTGGGGTGAATTGAATAAAAAAAAAATTATAAATCCGTCTATCCGAGATGGGGAAAGATTTAAAACATTCCCGCTTTTCTGTACAGCTGGAAATGGTTCAACGAAATGTATTTCTATTTGTTTTTTGTTTTTGTTGTATTTCTTTTTACTAGATTAAGATGGAGATTATGAAGGCTTTTCTCACATGGTTACAAATTTGTAAGCTACAAACACTTGTTCGATACGAACTTTTAATCCTTAATACTTCCCTCCCATAAATTCATTGCATATTCTTCGAGATTCCATAGACGCGTTGCATTAATATTCTCTTGTCATGATGAATGGTCATTCTCTCGGTGAGGCTCCTTGCTTTAAACGTCTACTTAGAGTCACATTTTCCCCAAACCTCAAGTGGATCTCATATATATGAGCTATTGATTCTAGAAAAATTATATAGTGCTCCAGGAACTCCCTGTCTCCTCCTTCCATTATCTAAAGTAATCTGCTGTTGTGACCAAGTAAATGGTTACGTAATAACAAAAGAGGTTGCAGTGTATTGAACAGTAAATACAACAGAAGTGTGTTACACGACTTGGGAGTGTGTGTTGGTTGACCAGCGTTCAGTAAATCACTGTTCCCCACTCCGAGGCCTACATTCCCTACTAAATTTATAGTAAGTGGAAGAGTCCACAATAGCCTTATTAGAGGGAGTACGCCACAACATATGCTATTTCTGGGCTTGGGTTTCCCAATCCTCATTTTCCAGCCTTGATAAAGGTCAAAAGCGCTTACATGTCTCTGTGGGTGTGTAGTTATTTTCCAACGCAAATTGCTTTTCTCGCAGACGAATTCTTGCAAGCCTCTCCCTACTCCACGGAAAATGTTCCGACCAGCTATATTCCTTAATTTCACCAATTCAGTCCTTTAAAGCTAAGACACGCTATGACACGTATACAAAGTGAAATCATCATCATTCTCATTGTATTCCATTGGCAAGGAAGAAGTTCTATTCACACACCATTTTCTGAGAACCTCTACTTTGTGGAATTCTTTTCTGAACACAGCAATCATAAACTCTTCAAGTCTTGGTCAGCTGTTATTTACATACAAAAACCTCATTCATTAATCCTCTACACTGAATGGCTCTTGAGCCTTGTGTAATGTGAACGACAGAAAAGGTTAACAATGTAGACTCACAATGTATTGAGTTACAGTCACATTGGTACTTAACACTAGTGTCCTTGCACCAGACTAGCCTTAGTAAATACCTCATGTTCCGTGGCAAGAAATCAACATTGGCAGTAAATTATATAAAAATGAAATGTTCCTTGCTCGTTCACTTATGTTTCTTGAAATACCGACCGACGCCATTTCAGTCAATAAATTGCTTCCTGGAAAGAATTTCAGAACCTGATTAAATGCATCCAGGTGACCAGGTGCATTTGTCTTACTTCGTGAAACTAAGAAACATCAACCTCTTGATACGTCAAGGTCCTCGGGCTAAATCTTCATTTCTTTCTTTCTTTCTTTCTTTCTTTCTTTCTTTCTCTTTCTGCCAAGCCTTTAATACTTTCTTTGTTGACCCAAGTTCATTTTCAAACATTCTATCGATTTCGATCTATTTATGTTTTTACTATATTATTTCGAAATGGCCGATTCTTACTTTTTTCTTCTCGCTATTCTTTTTTGTACTTTTTCCTTTTTTTCTCTTTCCATTTGTTTTTGTACTTTTTCTTATTTCTTTTCTTTCTTTTTCTTTCTTTCACTTCGTTTTTGTTTTCTGTCTTTCTTTTTCTTATTTCTTTTCTTTCTTTTCTGTTTCATGTTTCTTTCGTTTTTTTATTTCTTTTTCTTTCTTTTACTTTTCTACTTCTTCCACTTTTTCTCACCTCTTCTTTTCCTTTTTCTATTTCATTTCTTTCTTTTTATTTTCTATTCTATTCATTTTTCCTTTCATTTTTTTTTGTCTGAGAAAAATTCAATCATGGCGTCAGTCGCTTTGAGCTGACGACGATTACAGTCATCCTCAATAAGAATATTCCACTGAAAATAATAAAAAAGAATTATCCCCTCAGCACGAAATACTATTCATTGTCAACGCTGAAACCCGCGTTCTTTAAGACCTTCATTCAAAAACTCAACTGAATTCAGCCAATGAAAAGAAGACTAAGGCTATTTAATCTGGACAATGCCACGCCGAATTCGTCCACGAATCCTAGTTGCAAATCACGACGTCGTGGTAAACGTCAAAAAGAAATACATTGTTTTTGGCTTGTATGTATATATGAATGGCTGCTTATAATCGAGTATACCTGTCTGCTAGGATGACTAGTATGGTTTTCAAACATTTTCCAAACCGATATTACCAAGAAGTTACCTCTCTGACAAGTTGACTATGGTGAGATTCGAACTCGGTTCCCATAGATGGAACGCTTACGCTCTAACCTCGTTTCTTTTGCCGATTCATTGCGAAAAGCATCAAGATTCTTGAAATAAAACACGAATGGATTACCGATGATCGAAGTACAGAATTAAGCGAAAGACTTTTAGATTTTTAGTCCCTGTACGCCAGTAATTTCTCACTTAGAGATTTTATTCGAATCCGTCACATTCATCAAGCTCCCCAGTAGCAATAGCATCTAGGGCTACAGCCACACCACGTTAGCTTTTTCTGTGTTTTCTATAGCAAGTAAAATCTTGCGTGATGGAGTTGCTAATCCCACGTCCAAACTGTTTTAAATTGCTGTCTATCTCTTATACTGGTTTCTAACCACGGAGCGAGATGTCAATCAACCGTGCCAATACCTGGAGAGTAGAGAGATTAATTCATGCCATTCCCAAAAATATGTGCGCAAAAATAAACACAACAAACTTGACTGGAATTTGAACTCAGCAGAATAATTCCCCTTTCCACATCGATAACAGACACGCTACGCGCACATCCATACATTATTATCGAATACTTGACTGTTATTCTTATTTCTGTATCTGTCCGTGGGGTCTTTTCTTGTCTGTCTATTTTAGTAAATGCTAGGATGATGGTGTCATCTAATACACTTCGAACAGTAAAAGACTATTAGGAACTGCGATGTTTAAATCGTCTCTCCTCTGCCGTTTTTGGCCTGGGGCCAAATCTAAACCGATGTTGTTAATATTTTCTAGAATAAATATTTATGCATGTATATTAGTTTGAAAATATCGATTTCAAATTATTCGAATCGAAAATATATTCAAATTATTCAAATTATATTATTATTATATTATTCAAATAATTATATTATTATTATATTATTATACAGTATTATATATTATTATATTATATATATATATATATGTATATTATATATATATATATATTATAACTTATATATATATCATATATTATATTATTACTACTATATATATTATTATTATATATTATATATTGTTATATTATTATTATATATTATTATATTATTATATTATTCAAATATATTATTATATTATTCAAATTATATTATGATTATATTATTCAAATTATTATATTATTATTATTATATCATTATATACTATTATATATTATTATATTATCATTATATATTATTATATATTATATTATTACATATTACATATATTATATATATATTAAACTTATGAAATTATATATTATATCATTACTATTATATTATATATTATATTATTATTATATATTATTATATATTATTATATATTATTGTATTATATTATTCAAATTATTTCAAATTATTCAAATCGAAAATATCGATTTCATATTATTCACATTTATATCAGATTTTAATTATTAAAACCCTTACTAATATTTTAAAATTTCAATGATATAATTATATTTATATAATAAATATTACCAGATGATGTTCATCTTTTAACATCTGATTTTATTAGAAATATTTACTCATTTCTAGATGCCAGATTTTATTATAAATAAGAGTTGCTCATTGTGTTTTAATTTAAATGGACATAAAATAGTATCGTTCGTGATATTTAGTCTTTAATTTCTTATAAATAGAGAGATTGCCATTACTTAGACGAATTATATAGCATCAAAAGAGGAAGAAAGATATTGCAAATTTATTGAGCGTTGGCAAAAATGTACTGGAAATTTGGGCAAAAATTGAACAGAAATCAAAAAAGCTATTAATAATATTGGCTAGATTAGAACAAGAAAACATTTTAGTTGGCAAAGTAAAAACTGAAAATTCTACAACAATTCCGATCATTATTTGTAATAAATATTTTTTTTATACTTTCTCCCCGAGCAAGGTAATAAAGCCACTAAAACGCAAGAGTTTACTGAGATTGAAAGAAAATGAGAAAACGTTAGAGAGGAGAAATGACAAAGAATGAACATGATTCAGAAAGACAGAAAAGGATAATAACTGAATCTCACATGATATATTGTTCCTATAAATATAAACTATATGCGGAACGTTTTACCAGTATCGATTGGTTAATACCAGTTTTATTTTAGAATCTGTGACTTGCATAATAAAATCCGACGTTTTTATCTATTTATTTGACTATCTAGGTCTTTGTAACTCAAACCAACGTGGTAGTATATACAGCTATACATTTCTAGAAATGTGATAAAGCTCGACAGTACTGAAAATACCTCACAAGTCTCTCTCTCTCCTCCACTCTCTCTTTCTCTTGATATATATATATATATATATATATATATATATATATATATATATATATATATATATATATCACTAGTTATCACTAGTTATCTACTATCGTCTGAAGAAGTGTCATCTTGGAACTGAAACATGAATTTTTTTGCAATGTAAAATGTTTTTATTGTAATTTATTATAATAAAAATATTCTAACAAGTCTCTCTCTCTCCCTGTTCTAATAATATTTTTCTCTACTTTGTATTGGGCAGTTTTAAAAAAATGCTACGAACTGTGGATTTTTACTCCATCTGTTCTTTCTCTCATTTGATATATATATATATATATATATATATATATATATATATATATATATATATATATATATATATGTATATATGTATAATTTCGCCACTAAGATTCAAGGACATTACTAGGAGTGAAAGAGAATTAAAGTATATTAGTGATCAGAAAGGACAATGAAGAACACGATTCAGGATAACTAGTTTAGTACATTATATACATATATATATATATATATATATATATATATATATATATATATATATATATATATATATATATATATATAAAGAAAGATAGATAGAAATCAATATAGATATATAGAGAAATATTATTTTAAGGTGTGGTATATTTATGGGATAAAGTGCTCAATATCAGATAGAGCGTATGTAAATATAAATATAAAGTCAATCCTCAGAGGCTGATTGCGTCTAGCATGAAGCAGCCTGTCACCTCTGAGTGTTGAATTCAATGTTTCTTATATATATATATATATATATATATATATATATATATATATATATATATATATATATATATATATATATATATATATATATATATATATATATATATATATATATATCAAGTTAACATTGATATATATATATATATATATATATATAATCAGAGTGGTAAATGGTTGGTTTCCTAGCACGAGACTTTGGTCCTAACCTTATCATGGTCGATTTCTCTTGATCATATCGACCTGCGTTAGCAAGCTCAGCGTGCGTCCCTTCCAGAAGTTCTTGAAAATGGTATTGCTCACATGAAGTGATAAGTGATCAGATCTTGATATTGGATTTGAACTCTCTCTCCCAGAAACTGCAAACTGGTGTCCGCTCAACGTATTTGCATTATAAACACCCGATGCGCTCCCAGCAGGCATCCGCAAACGCGGTTGGCTAACCGCCCTGCCATTCGGTTGTTCACTGCTGATATATAATCCTTGTTTCTCTCTTTCTTCCCTTCTATTCTTTTTTCGTCATCCTTTTTATTTCTCTTTTTAGCTCTCCTCAACTAGCATTATTTATTAATTTCTCATTTATTTCAAAGCTACGACCAAAATACACGGCCAGTAATTATATTTCCATTCTGTCTTAACATTAACGTTAAACAAAACCAAAAAAAAAGGAAACGGTTTTATTCAGAGATATTGTCTTTTTTCTGGACACTTTCCTCTCAATCCATTCACTATTGCAAATACCGTCGCCTTAAATCCTGTAATTCTATAGAAAATGGAGTTTACAGGGACTGGATTAGATTAATAAAAGATTAATTGCCAGCATCCGTGCAAATTAAATCGTTATTCTTATCAGATTCTGTTATTTGTATCTTCTTACCAGTTTACCAGTTAAAATATGGAAAGTATCTTTCTTCGACGTTCTTCTATTATGATTACTTTATTCCCTGGCCCATCTCCGATTTTAAAGGGTTTCTATCCAGTTCTTTTAATTTTGATCTTCTTTTCTTTTTTCTTTGACATACTTTGCTTCATGAGAATCACCTCTGTTTACGTGGTCAAAGCCACGTCATTTGCACGGTTCCTGGTGTATTAATCTTCCTTCTCTGTTTTGTATACATTTGTATTTCTTTAGAAACAGTTTGTCATATGCCCTTACTGTTAGATCAGTTTCCCCCCAAGTTTTATC